GGAGGAGGAGGAGGAGGAGGAGGAGGAGACAGCAACTTCAGAGAAAAAAACAAACAGCCTAATTAATGGTGATTGTTGTCAGTGGACACAGAATGAGAACCAATTGGTGGGGGGAGGAAGAGAGAGAAAACAAAAAACTGAACAGATGGAGTGGAGTGTCTCCAATCCTGAATAGAAGCACTCCAGGTTGTAACATGCTTTTTAGGGCTATCATATGGGGGCCGCAAAAGTCCAGAGAATCACAAGATGGCAGCAAACAATTGGTATCTTCTATCCTGCCACCTAGTTTTCATCGGAAGTTTTGCACCCCAATATGATAGCCCTGTCCTTTGCAGATAATGGAGATGGCGGCTAGACAAATTCTATAGCTGTAATAAATACCCATTTATCCTTTTCCAGAAGGCACTTAGACAAAACAAAAGGCATGAATTACACAATCAGAATTACTGTCTTAAGAAAACTGCTGACAATCATAAATGAACTTTTGGAAGCATTTTGGTTACGTTGAGGAGACATGTGAATACATACCATTGCTTTCCTTGCCTTCAAGCCAACCCGATCTCCTCCTCTAAACATAAGGGGGCAAAATCTCTAAGATCCCTGCTGCTTTTGTAAACCTTTTGTTAACCCCTAACCTCATGAGAGGTCTTGGAAAGATTTCCTCACCTTCTGTTGGAAAACTTTTGTGAGGAAGTTGAGCTCTATTTACTGAGACAGCCAGAAGAGGTGGAGTAGGAGGGGAAAGATACTGACTTGGATATGCAGAGTCATTTAGGTTATTCCCATCCGTCTAGGATCAAATAAAAATGTGTCAATGTTCAATTCTATTTTTAGAATATAAGAAGTAGGATAGAAAGACTGGATTTGGTTCTAAAGAAAGGGCTGCCTCTCAGTTCTCTTTCACTCAAGACTTTTTTTCTAAACATTTCTCTCTACAAAGAAGTAACCCCTTTCAAAGCAACTTGTGAAAAGGTGTTGATGCAAATGAAACTTGCAGAAGAACTCGGGGCATATTTGAAGGCATAAGGAAAATCTGTGTGGGCTACAACCAGAAATCTCAAATTTCACTGTGGGCTCAGAGCACATCCCCAGAGCATAAAACATAGAATAAGCTGAAAAGGCATTTTAGTGACAATATACTGAATAAATACTGAGATACCCTAATAACAGTACAAAAATGATTAGAAAAAGAAAAAAATATTTTTCACAGAAATCACAGCAGCAGATACTTTAGTGACAACAATTATGACCAGATTTCCCAGTAGAATTTCTTTTTAAAACAAATTCTGTTGTCTTTAAAGATCGTGCAGGGCCAGCTCTAGGCTAAGGCTGAGTAGGCACCAGCCTAGGGGTGCCAAATTTTAGGGGGCACCAAGACTTCCAAAAAGCACAATAAAAAAGAAAAAGCAGTAACAGTGTACTCTGTGAGCCAGCGTACCTGCTCGAGTGTTAAATATCATTTTGCCGAATTGTTGTCATATGACATTGATGGGTGCTGATATAATTAAAATGATTTACAGTACTGTGTAAATAGGGTGAAAATGTCCAAAAAAAGGGGGGGAAATTATCTGGGGCTGAAAATCATAAGTGTGAAGCCCAAAAACTTGAAGCAAAAAAGAAACAAGAGAGCACCCTTTTGAAATTCCTAACAAAATCGGAAGATGAGCCAAACCATTTCCTGCTGGATCTTAAGAGCAGGATAAAGCTACCCAAATAATCAGATTGTCCACTATTCCATCTTATGTTTATCCATTCTCATGACATTTAGATTTCCTTCCTCCTAACATCAGTAGAGATAGAAAATGACTTTGCCTAGGGTGCCATAATGTCTAAAGCCAGCCTGAGATCATGTTTAGAGCTTCTTAGGTTATAGCAAACCTTTTCATTTGAATCATCTCTAATGTTAAGAGGACCTATCTACTTTAGACTTTGAATGCAGCCCAAAGTGATTTTGGTCCTAAGCAAACAGGCATAGGCTTATTCTGTCCCTTATCTGATACCTGATGTCTGCATATAGATAATATTGTATCTATATTGTATACCTCATATTATATACAGACAGAAGGGGGGAGACAGACTACTCACTGCCTGTAATGTACATCCTACTTCAAAAACATCGATTTCAAATCAGTTCAGAAATTGGCCAGATATGAAAATGATTAGTCACAAGAACTATATGTAATTGCAATAAATCTTAATAGTCAAAATTAATTCAGCCCAAATGACAGAAATATGTTAACAATCCATTTTAACCAACTCAGTTTTTCTGCTAGACTCCTCTGCAGAATCTCTGGGAACATACCTGATTATTCTGCACATTACCAGGGTCAGCAACAGTCTTGGTAATTCCAGGATGTTGTTGGCTAAAGATGAAATCAAGGTACAGTGTAACAGTTATATTAGACATAAACCTCTGATCAAACCTGTTGGGGTTGCAAATTGCTTTGACTGAGTTACTAATCTGAAAAATAGGATAGCAAAATCAGAGAGCCTTTTGGTGACAAACTGGACTAAAAGCAAGTATTCCAAGGATGCACTAACCTCACACACAGGAAATTAAGCTAGAAGAACAAGTTCCCATGCTTAATTATATGTATCTGAAAGCTAATTAAAGAGTTAGCCTTTTTCCATTATTAAATATATTAGAAGTTCTTAATGGGATTTCAATGACTGACATTTAATATTGTCAGCAAAAATAACATATATATTTCCTTACCTTCTCTTATTGGGTGAGTATTCCATGTCTCGGTCTTCCAAGGATTCTGGGATTCCAGAATCAGCAGTAGTATGCCTTCCCATTCCAATCCCTGTTAAATTCCCTCCTTTTTCTGTATTTGCGCCCAACATGAGAGAAACCTCTTCTGCATCAAAGGTCAAAATATTATCTGCTGGGACATGAATGTGCACACACATATATACATAGAGGAACACAGAACTTTTACTTCTGTCAATTGCCAGCTAATGGCCATAATATAGAGTAAAACTGTCTACTTTCTGGTAGTCATCAAAACAAAAATACCCCCTATGATTGGAATAAATGAGAGTTCTCCAAAATCTGCATATTTTCTGAACTTGCAAGGTTTTGTAGATAAAGTTAAGATCTCATCAGATTCACACTGTCCACATCTGGATTTGAAGGGTCACAAACTTGTGGTTTTATATGCTCCTTTTCTCCTAATCACATCAATTGTATTATGATTCTCTGTCACCCTAGTCCTAGTTTGTTGTGACATGAATCAGACAACTATGGTTAGTCCTAAACCCCAAACTATAGGTGCCATTCCACTTCAAAACACAATCTCAACTCACAGGTTGAAAGTTAAATCTAATAGTATTTTGCCCAGTTTTGATATCACTGCAAGCAATGGTTGGAGAAGAGAGAGCTGGCATTTAACAGGAGAGATGGAAAAAAAGAAAGGAAGCAAGGAAGCAAGGAAGCAAGGAAGGAAGGAAGCAAGGAAGGAAGGAAGGAAGGAAGGAAGGA